ACGTGATTATTTACTTGTCAGGTTGGCATTAGCTAATACCAGTTCAAGCAAAGTCCACTTCTTCCAAAACAGGAGATTCACACATATATTCTCTGTGACTGCCGCTGCACAAAGATGAGTCACGGAGGTGTTTATGCAAATCTTAAATATACATTTCATGCACCCAGTGCCATCAATTATATAAACGTTCCAGGTATGGAGCAGACTGGCAGAAAAATCTGGTTTTTATTTGAGTGTTTTTGTGTATTTTCATTCCACCGTCTACTCAGAGATGAAAAGCTCCAAACCTGAGCCAGGTGAAGTGTCTCCTCTCCACTCATCTACCTCCAGCAAGAAGGAAGACAGTCTGAAGAGGGGCAAAGAGAGCCGGGAGCTGAATGACTCAGAGGAGGAGGGAGACCTGCTGGAGGATGAAGATGAGGTGAGGATAGGGGGAAAAGGAAAGGAGGACATCAGCAGCTCTTTTAAACAAGTTGTTGTATGCACATAGTTTGTTTTCAGCTATTCTCATTATTCAACAGGCGAATTTAGTGCAAAGAACTTAACATGATTTATTTTTAAAACCATAAATCCAAAAAAGTTGGGATGATGTTAAAATATAAATAAAATTATTTCCAAAAACCATAAAACAATATTTCTTTCATAGTAGAGCAAAGGAAATATCAGATGTTTAAAGTTAGACATTTTACTGTTTTATGAAAAATAGGAGCTCATTTTACATTTAATTGCAGCAACACGTCTCAGGAGAGTTAGGACGAGGGCAAGAAAAGAAACAGCTGGAGGAGCATTTTGCAGCTTGTTAGGTTACCCAGTAAAGAGTCAGTCACATGATTGGGAGAGCTGGTTTTATGGGCTGAGGTTTACCAATGTGCAAAAGTCCTGCACATATAGATACTGGAACAATTGCTCAACATAAAATTGTGAATACTTGAATCTCTCATCATCTACAGCAGCGGTCCCCAACCCCTGGGCCTCGGACCGGTACCGGTCCGTGAGTCGTTTGGTACCGGGCCGCGAGAGTTGAGGCT